CGGGCGCCAAACATTCTCGCTACGCCTCTGAGTGATACTGATGAAATCCCCAAGAAAGTTTAGAAATGAATAAAACTAAAGTAACATTTCCATAAGCTTTTAGATGATACCACCATTGTTGGCTTAATATCGGAAGTAGAAGGCCTGTATCGCAATTTAGTTACAAGCTTTATCATTTGGTGCGATGAAAATTTTCTCCAGCTGAATGTCTCAAAAACAAAAGAAATGGTTGTTGATTTCAGGAGGGGGAAACACCAGATTACAGATCTCAACATAAAAAAATCAAAGTGTAGAGAAAGTGGAGGCATACAAGTACTTAGGTATCACAATTAAATAGTAAGTTAACGTGGCTTGAGCACGGTGAAATGCTGTATAAGAAATTCAACCAAAGACTGTTCTACCTCAAAAAAAAACTGTACAATTTCGGCGTAAACCAGCAAATCATTAACTTATTCTACAGTGCAACAATTGGAAGCCTATTAATTTCAGCATTACCTGCTGGTGTGGGAATTCAACGTCTGATATTAAACACCGCATAAAGGGGCCGTCCATAAAGTACGTCACGCTATTTTTTACCATTTACCCCCCCCCCCCCGCCCCAAACCGTCCACCCTTCATACACCCCCCCCCCCCCCCCCACCTATTAATTTCAGCATTACCTGCTGGTGTGGGAATTCAACGTCTGATATTAAACCCCGCATAAAGGGGCCGCCCATAAAGTACGTCACGCTATTTTTTACCATTTACCCCCCCCCCCCGGTCACAAACTGTCACACTTTCATACACCCCCTCCCCACCCCCTGGAGCGTGACGTACTTTATGGACGGCCCCAAACCGACTAATCAAGACAGCTAGGAAGATAACATAAACTAAACATCCTTCACTTTAAGAACTATTTGAAGAAAGATGTTTTTGTAAAACTAAACACATTTTGGATGATACATCCCACCCTCTTCATCTTCATCACAGATACTAAGGATCGGGCCGTTCGGGACGAATTCTTTCCATCAGGGCAAGGACTGAAAGATATAAAAATTCTTTTGTTCCCCAATCTGTACGAATTTACCGGCGTGCTTCCTCTGAAGTCACACATCTGAATGAGAACTAATAAACTGAATGGCTGTTTGAGATAATTTATTATAAATGTCTTGTCTTCAAATTGTTTAATTTATGTGCTGAAAATGTATAATGCAATCAAAAAACATTTCCATTTATTTGGATCAATAAAAGAATCTTATCTTATCTCACTATATATCACCGTGGAATAATATATATTAAATTTCATAACCTGTGAAAAAGACTTTTTAAATTATCGAACTTTCTGGAAAACTCTAGACCGGCTCTTAATGGACTGGATATTACTAATTTTAAATCCACCGATATTTCAATACAGACAATGAAGGGTAGGCTTTTGCTACCAAGCTAGGCCTTGATCCATCAATTCACATACAACTTATAGTGTGGTCATAGCCTATTGGTATTTATATTATATACTTATATAATATAGCTTAAATAAGAAGAGAGAAAAAAAAAGAGGAAATGGGGCCCAGCCAAAAAGAAGCGGATATTATGAGTTCCGTACTCTTCGGTATTTGAATATGCATAATCAAGTGTAGGCATAATATGTGTACTAAGTTTGGTCAAGATCCAACCCCTTATGTAGGCGTATTTGGTGGTAATTTTATTAACACAGCAAATATCAGGGGAAAAACGAATTTAGCCCCCCCCCCCTCCCCCCTTTCCCCAACGGAATGTTATAAATACAGTAGTTCATGACCCCTCCAGTATTTAATTCTGGACCAAATTTGCTCAAGATCCATGGAAAAGCTTTGGCAGAACTAAACAAAAAAAACAACAACAACAAATCAACAAACATTTGTTCACTTAGATGTAGGCCTATATATCATTTATTTGGTACTTTTAGTTTTCGTTTCTAACAAACGAGACAAGGTATCTCCAGTACGTTACCTAAGTAGTATATGTGTGTGGCGTCTTTATGTTCCTGCAAACACCCCCACCACCAAAAAAAAAAAAATACTTATAGATTCCAATTGACTGAAAACGCCCCCCCCCCACCTACCTTTTTTTCCCCCTTCTTCCCAAAGTAACGCCAGAACCCCCTCCCCCTCAGCTGTTCGGCCCACTGAGTAGCTTTTTTTATATTTCCGAAACATAAATGATAATAATAATATGTGTTTTAAATTCTCAAAGTATCCACATACCTTGACTGATCATTTGACAGTTTGTTCCCCCTTCTAATACTAATACCAATAAGCTGCTTTATTACAAGCTAATTTTGTTTCGTCATACCGGTACAATTGAAACCATCAGGAATTTATTTACTCACACTGGAGTTGTATTTCTACAATAAATTTTCCTCGACTTGAAACTTCCAGCCGATCTCGGCCAGTCTGTCATAAAGTTCTCTCAATTTTCGTTGCAATAAACTTCCCGCATATGTCTGTCCAGTCCAGAGAGAGAATGAAGCTTACCATCACGTACAGTACAAGCGTTTATCTATCAACTCTACTTATTTGAATGTTTTGTTGTTGTAATGATGAAGATATTTGCTGAAACGTTTTGCATTTGTATTCTGTGTAACCATTATTAAAGCTTATATATTTATTTATTTACACAAATTGTTAGTGTCTCATTAATCTACATGAAAACTTTATCAAAACACTCTTATAATTAAATAATTAATTGTTTTTCATTACCAAATTTAATAGAAAACGAAAAAAAAAAAATGGATCGCATCTAATTTTAGACATGCATGTAGCCTACCTTCTGATTCTAAGTCGGTTCCTGTACAAATTGGTCAAACTCTCTTAAAAATATCAACGCCAAATTCACTGCCGTCCAACTTCAAGATGAGTTATTTTTTAATAAGGCTTATTCCCGTGTTTCCCAACCTTGTTCTGTACTCCACACCCCCTCTGAATTATTTGACCAGTGTTGCACCCCCTATGAATTGTTTTACCAAATCTCGTACCGGGTAGCCTACCACTTACTTACAGGAGGACCGAAGCATTAAATTTAAAAAAAATAATAATAAAAAAAAACAACTTCTTATTTATTGACTTGCCAGGAGAACTGTATTGTTTAGAAATAAACTTTTGACTTGTTACATAATTAAAATGTTAAGAAATAAAAAAAACCAAAAATGACGACGTTGATCATTGTTGACAGATCTTAATTGCTTATTGTCTCCTTTGTTCTTATAATTCATTTGCTGGCAGCCCCCGAAATGCCATCTCGCAGCTCAGGTTGGTAACCCTGATTGATTCAGAAAGGCCAGCTTTCAAAGATGCATTCATCAATTAAAAGAACGTCCAAGTATTGGTAGCAGTTGCACCACATTCATTTAATCAAAGTATAAGGAGCTCCATGCTCATCTTATTTTTTACTTAGAATTTAGAAAATACAGTTCATGGTTGTTGTAAAATGGGGTTGGAATTCAATATTTAATAAGAATATTTGTGAAGTTCAGGCCGTTAGAAAAGTTGGGCAAATGTGTACGTAGGAGGCAGAGGGGAATAATCTTTCTCATTGCACTTTTGGTTTATTACAAACATAATATAATAAGGCTTACTATAATTTTAAAGATTGCAACAGGGACCTACGGTTGAAAAGGGACCAGTGAAGTAAGTACCAAATCAAACAGTTTCTGAGCGGAAGGGTGGGTCAATTGTTAATTAATATACCAATACCCTGTACCTCAAAATCTGCACTTAATGTGACTTGATATTTAAATAAATTATTGTTAAATTTAAATATTTAGGTTTTTGTAATTTAGGAAAAAATCTAATTTTTTAAAATAACTTTTTCAGAAAATTTATTTTGTTGTTGAGGTGTGTGGAACTATTTGGTACATGTATACTATATTGAATTTCTGAATTTCAAATAATAATGTTTGTTGAATTTTCTACTTGATTCACCTTAAGTGTCTTTGTTAATTTGTCAACAGCATCAGTTAATAAAATTAAAACTAAAAGAATTTATAAATGCTATGACAGAGTTGAGAATTTTTATTGTAAGTTGAAGATTACATTAAATGACCAAAAAAAAAAAATGTTTTGTTCAAATGAAGCAGGATCATGCAGTTTATACATGAATAAAAGGCAGCAAATCAAAAGTACAATTGATTGCATAGGGGATAGAATTCAAGCAATCAAAATATCAGCCTGTATGGATGACATTTTCAAACCACTGACTTTTCTTCCCACTTTTTGATAACAAAATTAACCAAGCTAAAACTAAACCAAACAAATCTCATTAACACTGTCAGAAATTGGTAACAATTCTACCAACATCCAGAATGTAATCAGATCGTTTAAGCTCTAACTAGTTATAAATTAAGAATAATTAGTCAATTTTGCTAAGTGTACCTTACTTTGTAATGGGATCACTATTGTGCCATCCTTCAACTAGTATGGCTAATGAGCATTATCAATTTATTCTAACTTTTCTAATTACTGACACACAAGTCAAAGAGGTAAAAAAAAAATTAGGCACAGCTGTCTTGGTTTTCAACACTTAAAATTGTGCTGTGATTTAGCCATGGAATAAAATAGTGCTGACAATAGAGTATATTGAATTGCTTTAAATAAAACTTGAGAGGAAAATGTCAAGGCACAAGTTAGCAGTAAAGAACAATCAGTCATAAATATTGGGGCTTGAAAACAAGTTTTGTCCACTTAAAAAAAAAAAAAAAAAAAAAAAAAAAACAAAAAAAAAAAATAGAGATGACAATAGAGAATATTGAAATGATATAAATAAAAATTGAGAGGAAATATCAAGGAACAATTTAACAGTAAATAACAATCAGTCATAAATATTAAGGCTTGAAAACAAGTATTGTACACTTAAAAAAAAAAAAAAAAAAAAAAAAAAAAAAAAAAAAAAATAAATAGAACAAACAAAAAAAAAAAAAAAAAAAAAAACAAAAAAAAAAAAAAAAAAAAAAAAAAAAAAAAAAAAAAGAGGTGGGGGGAAGGGGGAAATAAAGATTAAGAATTATAAAAGAACTCAACTTTGCTAAACAATTTTCTATAATTAATATATCATGTATGGATAATAATTGATATTCTTTTATGAAAATAATGATACACATTTAAAACAAAGATTTAAAAAACTTAGAAACCGATGTATACACAACTATAGAAAATTACATGAAAATGACCATATAAGGTACACTAAAAAAAGGAAAAACAATAAATAATTAATCCAGTCACAGGCAAACATAAACGGTATATATATTCGTAGGCTTAGAGCAGTCAGTTTTTCATGTATGCCAACAAATCAAACATACTCAAACTAAATTAGTAATGGTCAGAACTTTGAAACCAAAATATATTCAGCTCTATGAAGAATGAAATGTGTTTACAATCTTACCAAATATTTCCTATGGTAACAGGTTATGACATTCTCATTAGTTTTAATTATGTGATCACTCTTTAAGGTGCCATTAACAAAGCTCATGGCTTGCACACTGAATTTTTACAAGACAAGATATATAAAGGAAGAAAAATTATATTCATTGCATAACAATGCAAAAGATTGGAATGCAAAATATTTACCAGAAATTGTATGCACTATTCATTTCTTACTAGCTTGCTGTCCAGCAGGATTTCATGATACTTACTGTATCATCCTATTTGTGACTAAGGACAGGCAAGTAAGGTTTCCTATGTAAAAGTAAATAGAAGACTTATTTTGCAATATGCATACCAGAATGTCACAGAACACTTGAAAATTTAAGCATTAGAATAGGTCATGCGACATCTACAATTGAGAAAAATAAAAATAATCCAGTATCACTACAAACTAAATATTCATAACAGCATTGACAGATACAAAATTAATTCTTACTGGCATAATAGCAACTTTCCAAAACACTCATTCAGTATTGATGATGCACAAGACAAAGAATATCTCTGCAGTAGTTCAGAACAATGATTATGAATATTATCAGGTTGCTGATGTGTCTATTACTTTAAATGTCCTTAATATTTTTAACTGAAAACTAAAAGGTAACTCATGATTCGACAAGTATTTCCTTGGTCTCAATATTTTGTTGGTTCGTAATACACAAATGCCTTTCCACTATCACTAGCTGTTATTTAACAATCTATAACAAATACTTCCAGCTTGGAAGCTCAGCTTTTAGGAGACAATTTAAAAAAATATACACAATACATTAAAAAATTGATCCTATACTCTAAAGCATATTCAATCACCAATCTTTCTTGACAGCCAAGTGCCACTCCCAGGTCACGTATTCATTTTGGTCATCATCGACAAATCTTGACTTGATCTTGTAATCACCTCTCATTAATAAGCCAGAAGGAGCATCTTCTTGCTGCGTTGTAAAAGACTGCAAATCTGCTTTAGGTCCATAGCTTCCCATCATCTGCTTCATTTTGTCCACTGGAAAAACAAAAACAATTTTACTAGTATGCCTAGTAAACTACTGTAGTAGTTTTAATGAGTTTATAAAAAAAAAAAATAATATAACTAATAATCTCTTTTAAAAATACAGTATGATCAGCACAATACCATAAAGACTTATTATTTTATAAACATTTATTATTATTAGGAGTTATTAAAGATAACTCATGGAATATAAAGTTTGACTACCATCAAAAACAAACGAATGAATTCTAGGCCCAACCCCACTAATAAGGTAGAGGGTACTTATTTATTAGGAAGAGGGTACTTACTTATCAGGAAGAGGGTACTTACTTGTCAGGAAGAGGGTACTTACTTATCAGGAAGAGGGTACTTACTTATCAGGAAGAGGGTACTTACTTGTCAGGAAGAGGGTACTTACTTATCAGGAAGAGGGTACTTACTTATCAGGAAGAGGGTACTTACTTATCAGGAAGAGGGTACTTATAATTGGCAAATAAAAAAACAAACAAATTTTCAGAAAAAAAGGAGGCAGATTTATTTATTTATCCAGACTTACCCTCAAGAACTATTAATAATATTTTTATTAAGGAAATTAAGATCTTTTTAGAACACTCTCATACCTTGAATACCCTTTCTATAAACCTTATGCTCATATCTGAGGCCAGAAACAATTTCTCGTTGCACAAAAAAGTATATTTTGATCTGATACTTGCAGCCTTCTTTAAGTGTGAAACATTCTTTCTTGATTTCTTCCTCTGGTTCTAAAAGAATAGTAGTGAAAATATGTATTCAAGTTTAGAACAGGTAAACATTTAAAATATAACATTATCTAAATGTTTAGAATTATTGCCAACATTTAATCATGTGGCAGTGTGCTGAGTGGGTGGCAATATAGTTTATAATTTAGTTTACACATCCAAGGAAATCAGGTCTTGAGAACTATAACTTTATTGCTTCCAAGAGTATGGTAAATAGATATAGCACAAGGAAAAGGACATTTTATTTAGTCGTAAATGTAAGCAAACATGGGTCTATTGTTACAATATCACCTATATCTTGACCTAATTTCACTTTCACATCGAGCTGAAGTTTCCACCACTTCATACCCTTTTCTTTTGTTTTGATATTGACATCAGCCATAAAATGTGTAGCCCTGTGCCAACCCTGACTCTTCCTTGATTGGAAATAAATTGTTTATGTTCAAATATGTTGTATTGTCCTAAAGAAATCTGTCTGGTGATGCAATTTCTATACTAGATGGTTCTGATTTTATCCCTATATAACAGCCGTCTGCCTTCCTAGCCGGGAGAGATTTTACCTATATTTCCCAAGTCCCATATATGGGACTTTATGTAATTTCAAGATTGTACTCTTTATGTGTGTAAATAATACATTTATTCTTCGAGGATTGTTGTGCTGTGTTGTAAGTGTAAGTTAATATCTTTTTTTTTGTACAGGGTATCCATATAATTGAATTTTTATTTTGTAGAAATTTAATATCATAATTAACTCAATCCCGATGGCAGTGCTGCTTCCGCACTTGAGTAATATTCCTGCAAAAGGGAAGTACTTCCGTTTTGCAATTGAATTATCTTTGTAAAATATTTTTTTCTAAATGTAAAGGCATCCATAAATGAAAAAGGTTTAATAAAAATAAAGCATCAACAGCAAAAAAATAATTTAAAAAGATTTTTGGCCCCATCTGACAAACACATGCTAGATGCATTGTACTAAAGCACACTCAAATCGAAAGAAGATAAAAACATCTGGTATTTAAATTCAAATCACACTAAGTCTCGTTCTGGGACGCTTCTGTCAGATCTAGCAAATGACGCATTTAGTCTAAACCGCCGGTATGAGTTAAATTGAATATTGTTCGTATCACTAGCCATTGTTTCAATTTCTTTGTATACTGGTTTTCAGTCATTTGTTATGTTAAACTTTGGCGATATTGATAAGGGGTACATTAAATTAAAACACTACTTTAGACGATCAGTAATGAACAGGAATCGCCCACTACAACCACAAAATAAAATGTACCCTACAAATTAGAATACAAAATTGCACATTTTACTTACAGAATGGCTAGATAGAAAGGTGAAAAAACTAAGAATTATTTTTTGCTTAATACAAGTCTGCTCGATTCAAAATCAAGCGGGTAAGGCTCCGCCTCCCTGAGATAGGTCCCATGTGGTCATATAGGAGGGTAACTACACCAGAGTTAAAACCAAGAAGAGTGTGCAAGTTACCTAATGGTCACTTGATGGTCAGTTACTGTGCATGAGTGAAATTGTTTCCATCACACAGTGGTGTGCTTTTTAAAAATTTCATTTGGTGTGCTTTTTAAAAATTTCATTGGGTGTGCCAAACCTGTTTACTCTTACGATTTTGGCGTACAATGTACGATTTTGGATGTAAACATATATACTGTATGTTTATTTTTTAAACTATAAATATAATGTATTTAAGGATTTTGTGATGATATTGTACGATTTTAAGAGTTTGAGGGTAAACAGGTCTGGTGTGCACGTGCTCTGTATAGTATGGGGCTTAACTCAGAGCTATAACAGTGGTGATGTGTTACATTATTATTATAATGTGGCACCTTGCCATATTAAAATAATCAGATTAGCCATGCCTATAAATTTGATAAGTGGGCAAACAAAATTTTCTTAAAGTGAATAAGACAATGTGAAGTCTAAAAAAAAATATCCAAGAACATTCCACATGAACCATGAGTGTATGTACATTTTTTTATACTATTAAAATTTACCCACAGTCCGCTTTATCATTCTTTTAACCCTTAAATTTTTTCATACACTGGGAAACATACTTGTAAGATCAATAAAAATCTCATCTCGTCCTTCAGCAAGCAGGGAGAGTTTCTGAACGATCACTTTGTTTGGATTCTTTTCATCTGAAATATTAAATATACTTAGATAATTGGCTCTGACAAATATTTTGCAGTGAATTGCAAAATGGCTAAAAATCCATATTTATTCAGTATTTTTATATACAGAAGCCTTGAATTGCCCCATGTCTGTGTAGTATACTTAAATAAGTTTGTTTTATTTCATAAATGTTGCAAATTGAAAGAACTTGTATTATTTTAAAGAATTGAAAGAATCAGATAAATGTATATAAATTAGCAGACATACCAACTATAACATTCCCTGAAAGACTGCCTCCAAGCAATGCTTCTTTGTATTTTCTCAGACTCTCATCTTCTGCATCTTGTTTGATTAATTCTTCTAAGGGTTTAGGAGCAGGGGGCTTGTAATTGGGATTATCTTCATCCTCATGGTCAACTTCAGGGGCAGTCTCTTCTTGCTCTGCCATCTGAAATAACATAACAAAAACTTGTTTAACGAAAAATAGGACACACTAAAAAAAAAATAATAGCATTGCAAACAAATTTTAATTACACTTTAAAATACTTTAAACACCCCCCCCCCCCCCCCCAACAAAACTTTTAAATAACAAAGCAGAATGGACCTACAAAATAATCAATCAAATGACTTAACATCTACATTAACTTTTGAAATTGTTCTCAGGCAGTGAACTAATTTATGTGCAGAGCACTCAGTTATTTTAATGATGATCCCCAATTTGCTGATTAAAATGCAATGCAAGTATAAATTAACAAGTACCCTATAAAAAAAATTTCTAAAGTATAATTAAATACTGGTAATAATCTAAATGCAGTAATAGGGGCCATCCAGAAATGACGTCACTCAAATTTTGCCAATTCTTGACCCCCCTCCCCCTTGTCCCAAAAAGTTAGACCCATCCTCAAATATAATGTCACATATCCCCCCCCCCCCCTAAAAATTCCATGTAGCCTGTGTCCACTAATATCCTTTAAAAACCCTCAAGAAATTCATGTCCTGTGGATATCAAATTACCCCACTTGCCACTTGCGTCAGAAACACTTAACTAAAACAGTGGTTCTTAACCAGGGGTAAATGTACCTCCCCTGCCCCGAGGCGTGGAAGACCAGAAAATTTTATTCAGTGGCGTAGCTATGGGAGTGCCACCAAATTGCAAAATTACATAGAACACACTGCTCGTTCTAACCGAATTTCATTTAAGTATAACGGATGAGACCTAACTTTTTCACACGTGTAACCTATCAAAATGCGTTTTTTATTAAAATTTCAAGGTTGGTACATCAGCAATTAGGCTACCTTATTATTAGGCCAGAAACACATCGTTTTGACCATGATTCAAAATTCAACGCTGAATGAAGTGTTTGGTAACAGGAAGCTATATTTATCTAAATTATGAGAAATCCTTTGAATGGGCGATTCTAAGTACATTTTACATTTCTATAATGCCTCCTAAACTTCAATTAATTTATATTTTTTCTTGTCAATGTTATACTGTGGACTTAGTTTAATAAGAATTACATCACGGAAGTTGGGGGTGACACCACGAGTTTACCAGAACGGGCGACACCAACCCTAGCTATGCCACTGATTGTTTTTGCTGCAATTGCTAGTTGTTGCAGCAGGAAATGGTTTTCTAGTGAATTTTGTTGGCGCATTTCTTGTATTGGTAATTTTTTCCATTGTTTATAATTAAATAAATAAAACTACGATAATTAAATTATTTAACTATTTTCATATTTTAAATTTTATAATAATATAATTTATACGGTTTTGGGGGGTGGGGGGTGTGTGTGTTTAAAACAGAATGGGCCTGCAGCGCTGCAAAAAAGGTTAAGAATACCTGCTCTAGAGCATTTACATAAGAACCCCCCCCCCCCCCCCAACCATTTTTTTCATTCCATCCCACTTAACGTGGTAGTCCTAATTCTATGACCCCAGTGTCCACATTTAGCCATAAATTCCCAAGACTATCATCATTGTAACAACCCGATTCTCCTCCTTGGCATCCTGCCCTAGTCATAGTCTCTACACTCTACTCTTACTCAGTCTTATCCAAGTCACTATTAGTAGGCCACTTTTTCATTGGCAAGGCTAATCAACAATTATCGATTCTATGTGACCAATATCAATAATATAAATAAATGATATTGATATGGGCATGATATGGCTTTAGCCTTTAAGGCCTTTATTTCATTTTCAAAGCAGGGTGTGTCTAGTGTACTGGACAGTCAGAATGCTGAAATATTATAATTTTTATTGCATTCATTAAATTTTAGTTTAGGCTTATTTTGTTCAGCATATAAACAGTTGAACAAGATATGTCATTTGGTTTATTAAGTATGTACATGTAGTAGCAGACTGCCTACGAGTACAACAGTAGCCTAAACTGTTTCTTACACTTGTATCACAAGTGACAGACTATATAAACTATATATATAAATTATAAATTAGAGGGCCAACTATAAATTTATCATGACTCACTAGCTGCTTTTCCCTTTTGTCTGGAGTAAATTTATGAAAACTACTTATTATAAGTATAAAGAATTTATTTCAAAAATTTTTGAGATGGTTACTCACATTTTGGAACGAAAGCGTTAATTACAAAGAAGCGTTTCAAAATCCTAAACGGGACAACTTTGCTCTTCCTTATTGCCAATACAATATACTGCAATGGCGTTGAATAGCACTTCCGCTTTGGCGTATAGATATGCTTTCATTCCAGGAACTAAAATAAATTTTATGTAATGATGAGATTTTCATAACTTGTTTGCATATTTTAAATGTAAATATATTATTTTATAAGTATGATTAACATAGTGTTAAAAAAAAACCTAATGATAATGGTAACTGAGCTTGGTATTTACGGACTATATTATTAAATGGAGCAGGATGTTGAAATTATTTTAAAACTGGTAGAATGTTTTATTGAACTTTGACCTATAACAATTTTTAACATTATGAAGAAATAAATGTCACTGACATTGTCAGTAAAGAGTAAGATAGACAGGGAATAAATTCTACACTTGACTGCAATTGCAGTGAAATTTCACTTGTTGCGGCTGCAGGTTGATTGCAAAATACATTTTATGAAGATGACCTTTTTTAAAGAGTGGCCAAATCTTTAAATGACTAAGACTTGTCAGATGTCAAAAAATTGATAGAGTCAATATTCTAAAATTTAAAACTAAATAAATATAACTAAATGAACCAACTAACCTAGTTAACTTTAACTAATGCTAATACTTCACTAATTAATGCAGTGTTCCCTTTGCCTTTAGAGTTGAGTAAATTAAAGCCTTTAAGAGTAAGACTGAGTGGAGAAATGTAGCTCCAGAGCAGGGGCGACATTGGCCATTGGCACCTCACTATAGGCCTACTATATAATACTATCAATATCAAAAGTACCGTAACTGAAACTTATAACTAACTGTAACAACAAAAGTTTTAGCTTAATTCCATGTCATGGTATGTCCATCATCTATTATGTGATTAAAATATTTAAAATTAAGCGATATTATATGTATTTAACTCTATTTTAAACAAAAAGTCAAAGCCAAAAGAATTAAAAAAAAAAAGATTATTTTTAAGTTTATTAAATAGACTAAAACTTAGCCAACTTAGTTTGGACATGACAAAACATGACATACTAAACTAAGACTAAGACTATAAACTACTCTATAATATATGACTCAAAATCATAATTACTGCTCTCCCTCCATTTCTAATATGGCAGTCATTATTAAGACATTATATTATTTATACTTTTCATAATACTTTTCTTGTCTTCTTATTTTCCTTTCAGTATTTGTTTCTATTCATTGGTTGTGAGATGACACTGTGCAAGTTAAGGTCTCAATGGCTGGCATTCAAGTCCATGAAAGTCCCTATGGATTTTAAACTTTTTGTAGCATTTAAATTGTGGCACTTGAATGGGCAGAGACAGCAAAGTACAGTGTCAAAAGTAATCAGTGGAGGTCAGAAGCCACACACTCATGTTGCCATTGTTGGAAGTGGACCTGCAGGCTTTTACACCACTCAACAGCTCCTTAAGGTTTTTAGGTTGTTGTAACCTTGGTTGTTATGTTTGGTCCATAGTATAGAATTTAAAACTTTTTAAAAAAAATATTTTTGTAAGTAAGTTAGAAAAGTTAATTCATATAAAATTTTGTTTGGTAGTGACGTCAGGGCATCAGAGATGAAGGATTTTTTTATATAGTTTGTTTTGCAAAGATTTTTCTTGGATAGCTTTTATAGATGATCATGTGTACCAAAATATTCTTTGCCTTGTTCCACAGTGTGAAGTGGAAATATTTAATTACATTTCATTTTCTCGAATAATAAAATCTTTAACTTCCTTGCTGAAATATTAGAATCAATGATAATATGTAAAATTAAGATTCACCTCTTAACTTAAAAAGTTATTTACAAACTTTTAAAATAAATGATTGCTTTTAAAACAGCAGTTCTCAACCTGTGGATTGCGACCCCTTTGGAGGTCGCACAACCCTTTCACAGGGGTCGCCTAAGACCATCTGAAGACACATTTACTGTACAATTATATAGTATCAACGAAAATAATTTTGTAGTTGGGGTCGCCACAACATTAGAAACTGTATTAAAGGGTCGCGGAATTAGAATGGTTGAGAGCCACTGTTTTAAAAGGACAGGCATCCATTCATCAACTCAAAAGATTAACTTTTTAACCACCATAATGACCTAGATTTGATACTTTAATTAACATTCTCGACTTTTCATTATGAATGTTGATGTCTCCACAGTTTTTTCACTCAATGGGAGTTAACAAAAAATGAAAATGTGTGCTATGTTTTAATTTTTCTTTTCCATGAAACATTAAATGACAGTTTAATGAAGTTTTGAAATTCTACTCTCAATTATTTAGAAATGATTTAAAAAAAATCCCTCTAATTCATTCTTTTTCTATATCATGAGCGCCCACGATCAATGTATTGATAAATCTGGCTCCTATGTATGTAGAGGGTGTTTGCAATGTTTCTGTGCATGATATTGAAGAGGATACTTCACTGATTGCAAGGGCTACTCAGCGAGGGTATCTAGTGACCAGCTCAGTGTATGGAGCATGCTGCCAACACTTGAGGTGTTCCTGCAGTAGTTCAAGGCAAAGCGTACTGCCCGTTGCTGGACAGCATCCAACCTTTGGATGCTCTTCTCGGTGAATGGGTCCCAGACTAAAGATGCGTAACCTAAGAGCGGACGGAAACGTTTTATATGCTTTTTTGAACATAATGGAGTTGCTGATCCTTAGATTTCACCTTAGGAACTCTAGGGTCTTGTTTGTATGGTTGCATGCATTGTTAATATGCTCATCCCTCTCTTTGAATAACAACACTGAGGTACCTTACAAGCATATGCCCATGCAGTTCATAAGATTTCATGTCCCAGCCCATCTCCTGTTGTAGCTGGTTCTGAGAACTGTTGGTGATCGTCCTGTAAACTGCCATATATACCCCGGTATAAAGAAAAAAGTGCTGCCTAGGGCAGAATGCCCCCTCCCTGCACCTCTATTTACTTTACTGTTTATAAATGACCAATCAAGTGACTTACGGCTTGATTTGGAAGAAAACATTGGGGAAATTTAGAAGACGCTTGGTTTGAGATTTAAAATCTTTGTTAAGTAAAATTTGGTTTGGTTTGAAAATCTGATTTTTGAGAGGATGAGGTGACATTTGTTTTTAAATTAGTTTTACAAGTTGAAATCTTGTGGCTAAATCTCATTTAAAGGGAAACCTTACCAGTTTAGAAATGTATAACCCTAGCAATAAAAACTTTTTGTTACAGGGTAATCCTAACATAGTGATTGACATTTATGAAAAGTTGCCTGTACCTTTTGGTCTTGTTCGTTTTGGAGTTGCTCCTGATCATCCAGAGGTTAAGGTCTGTGAAATTTCAACTACCTTCTAGAATAGTAATTTTTATGCATAACGTAAGATTCTTATAAGATAATATAATGTTAGGGAAAAATTGTATCCAAGTTATTACTATCTACATCTCCAAATAAAATGTTATATAAGCATCAACAATTATTTCAATCCAGGAAAAACTTTCACTTTTGGAACTGGATCATTTTGATTTATTCTTTTGATTTGTGGATTTTAATTAAATTTCCAGCATACAAGTATTTTAAGGTTTTCAGATGTTTACAATCGCCCTTGTGAATGTTGAATTTCAAACTATTTATGAAATTACCCTTTCTTAATCTATCAATAATTTTAACGTTGCCATCTAACTCAAAGTGTCACAGAACAGGCCCTGGAAGATCTGTTAAAATTTTCTTTGAAGTCTAGCTTTGTTATTTACTTATTATCATTGCCTGGACTGTAGTGATCCACAAATCCTTGGGTGTTGTCCTGTGCCAGGTCTCACTGGCACTTATGCAGTTTTATTTTCCATGCTCTCTTGGGAAGTAGAGCTGATGGGACTCTGGGCATCTTCAAGAATCTATCTGCACTGTCTCTGTTATGATACGTTATATCTGTCTTATCCACAGAATGTTATCCATACTTTCACTCAAACAGCCCAGAATGACAGGTGCCATTTTTGGGGTAATGTTGAAGTAGGTAAGGATGTGACACTTGAAGAGTTGACAGACACTTACACAGCCGTTGTCTTGGTGAGTATTTACAAGGAATGTGTCAAGTCTTCTTCTTCTTATATATATTAAGGGCCCACTATAAAAGTATTGTTCATTCTGGTTCCTGTACACCTGAAAGAATAAATTGTTCCACAAAGTCCTGTCAAGACATTACACACTGCAACACCATTGAGTTTGTTATGAGTGAAAGAGTGCTTCTAAACAGTCCAAGAAACTTTCAAATCCAAAAATATCCAACCTTCCAGGAATATAATTTGAAGATGAAAATTTCAAAAAATGAGAAAGTGTGAGAGAAATTTCAGTGCTGCCTGTTGGTTGCCCGTGAACTTTCATCACGCAACAAGACATTGGGTCGGCGACACATTAGGAGGAGAGACAAGTATCAAGTGAACTGAACTGGGTGTAATGTCAGTATAAGTGCTGGTTAGCTTCATTTTATCATCTTACGAAAGGAAAAGTATATATCTGAAGACTTATATTCTGATGTTGGCCAAAGTCTTTATTCTATTTTCCACAGCTTTAAACATTTTTTCCAATTAATTTTTGTGGAAATTTCAGATTTCCTTCCTTTTGCGCTCTTGTTGTTTTTATTCCGCAATGTTGTTTTTTTGGCGGCCATTTGCATCAGAGCATGTACAAGACTTTACAATGAGTACCAACTAGGATACAGAGAGAAAATGTTGTTGTGTATGATTGTAAACTTTAACAACAACAAACATTTCTAGTGTATCTTATTTGAAAGAGGTTTTTTTTGTTCCAGATCTTCGGAATAGGAACATAAATTACTTAATTTTACAAATTGTTCCCACTGTTGAGGTTTTTATCAGGTTTTAAATAGTTGGTTCATATGTATTCCAATTGGTTTTAATTTTCTTTAAATGTGTCTGGTAAGACAAATACACTTTTTAAACTTTTTTTGCAATGCACCTTTTCTTTGAGCTTTGCAGCCTTATTTTTGTGCTAAGAAGCTATCCACAATTTTAATAATTTATGCACCACCCCCCACCCCATTTGTGTGTCACCCCCACCCACTCACTCCCGACCATTCAACCCCCAACCACTCACCCCCCAA